TTTTTTTTAATATTCAAAATAGCAATTTAGTACTAGATAGTTAAGTCGTGTTCTTAAAGAGTTGTACAAAAAATCGCACTTTGCAACGCAAACCAAACATTTCTTGCAAATATGGAGATTGTCTACTAGTTAGGCGGGTCGACCCACCATCTTATGCTACGAAAAATTACACTTTTATTCTTGCTATTTTGTAGAGTGATATGTCAATTACAAGTACGTATTGTGTATTCTGAAGCACAAATTCCAAACCAAATATTTCTTGCAAATACCGAGATTGTCTATTAGTTAGGCGGGTCGACCCACCATCTTATGCTACGAAACGTTGTACTTTTATTCCTGTTATTGTGTATTATGAAGCACAAATTCATGTGTGAGACAGTTCAACAGCTAGGCGGATCGATTTCTTTCACAAAAAAATAAAACTTATGTTATAAGATGTTCTACTTTAACATAAAGGATTGTTCTTTCCTTGCATTAAAGATCACTAACTAGATTAAAATCAATAATATAAATGGAACCTACTCAAAATTCAAGACAATAGCCTAAACCAGATGTTCTGAGACAGAAAAAAGGTTTCCTTTTTACCAGAAAATACATATAAAAAAAAATCTCCCAAGAAAAAAAATCTTCAATAATTTCTTAAGAGTCACTTCTAACTAAAGCCAGAAAAAACAAAACTATACTGCTATCCAAATTTCATCACTAAGATAGAAGAAATCAATATCATTTGTCCTTCATCCAACTGCAGGAGGTTAGGTTAGGGCCCATATAATCCTACGACCATAATCGGTGAAATATGATGGTGCACAATGTACCACCGGCCTTCGTGAAGCTCATAAACATTTGTCACATTATCCGGGCTTCGGTTCATGTCCACATAAGCTTTCATGGTGACCCAAGCCATACCAGACACGATTCGGGCCCTCACGTCTTGTATTTCCTGATAACGGGCCATGTTCTCCCTCCTGAATGTCAATTGCCAGCTCGCCATCACTGCATTATACCTACAGGGAAAAGGAAAAAGAAAAAAAGAAGAAGCCGAGAATACGTTAAGCCCAGTCTTTTGTTATCACGCACTGAATTCAATAGTGATTTAAGTAGTAATTAGAAGAAGTACAACTAATCCCCTTGAAATTCGTATTTGCCTCCAAACATAAATGTACAATGCAATCGTTGCCTGCTTTTTAGCAGACATTAGCTTATACATACCCGCTAAACGACTCACGATTTGCATGAAAGCACTTGACATAATTCGAGTTAAGCCAAAGCTGGGCCATAGCTGGAAGGGATCTTTCTCTCCAAATCCTGAAAAACTCGTCGTTAATATTGACAATGGCTCTTGTAGCTGCATAATAAGCTTTCCATCCATCAGGTGGCACTAAGCTATCTTGCTCCAAGGAGAAATCCTGTGGATTCAGACAAAAAGTCAACACAACACAATGTAACTCAACTTATAGCATGCAGGGGAGACCAAAAAGAAAAAAAAAAAAAAAAAAAAAAAAAGGAAAAGAAGAAGAAATTATGGTATAATGCGAAATTCAGAAGATGGCGACCGTGATCATCTGCAAGAGGACTAGGATTTGCCAAAGAGAATAACAATTACATAGTCAAGAATTAGTAAGCTACATGATCGAACTTTCAATCTCCTTTTTATTTTTGAAAATGCACTGTATAAGGTAAGAATCTACAACACCAAAATATAATCATATAACTTTTTTAAGCAAAGCTAACGAGGCGCCACAAGTATCCAAACACTCTTTACGGCCAATAGCTCAGGGCAAATGAAATAAAACTGATAAACAAATACGAAGTTTAATATATATGGCGTACATAAAAAATAAAACAAAAGGATAAGGATTCCTATAGCTGAGGCTGTAGTATATTCTAATTATAGAGGTAAACCGCACATAGCACTTTTGAGAATTGAGATAGAGTTTTCTTTTACTTTTTTGGAGAGTTCAGTTAGAAGAAAACAGAAATCACTCCTACTTTCGGCCTCTACGATAAAACTAAATCAAGTAAATCTCTCTCATGTATACTACCAGTCAAAATTATATTAAAATTCTAATCACGAGGCTTGGTGGTTCCATCAGAAATATCCTGACAGTTAATAACTATGCCAACTCTTATATGAGATGCAGGGGATATAACAATAAGCTTGCATATATAGGCAACAGTGGGAGCCTACATAAAAGATATTCAATAGTATTTTGCACTCTAATCATCAGATTCCAAGATTTTATACCTATTATCATTCTATTATGTCCACAAATAATAAGAAAAATTCAACTTACGGGAAAACCGGAAATCTTTATTTGTATGAGGGCATGATTTTAAAGACTACTAGCCACAAAATGTAATATATATCTGAAGAGAATGTCAATTGTACTAATGACAAGCTAATCACTATATCAGTAAAGCTAAGGATGCATACGGCCTCCACAACCACGATGAGGTAAAACATTAAAAACGCATCTCATATCTTTCACACGCGCCACCTGTTCAAGTGTGCACCACGTGTGATTTCCATTATTGGTAGCCATTAAAATGCAATCGCCTAAAATCAGATCAAACGCCTATTGAGCTAAGGCACTGATTTCTATAATCGCAAACATCACCACCCATTGCCGATCTTCTTCTTTTTTGCTGTTTATTTTTTCCTTTTTCCCAACTACCGCAGTTAATATCACATTCCACTTGTCAACAGCAAAATTATAACGTATTCAGAAATTCATTTTTATTTTCAAGACATGGTTCAGAACAAGTGTATTCCCTGCATAACTCCACAAACAGATCAAGACTGAACTGAATCATCAACACGAACCCTAATTGAACTGAATCATAAGCAAGAACCCTAATCTCACACCCCTCGTCCTTCAACCAGCCACACAACACACCTAAAAAACAGAAATAACAATTCCACATTATAAGCACAAGATCCACCCGAAACCAAACCAGAACACAACCCCAAAATCTAAAAAAAAAAA